CTAAAAAAAAAAAAAAAAAAAAAAAAAAAAAAAAAATAAAAAAAAAAGAACTTCAGACCTCTATTGCTGACAGTGGAAAAGAAAGGTCAATCAAAACAAACCTTAAGGGATTTTACAGGGTGCATTACTGACCCCAGATGTCCTTTCTTATTCTTGCTAGTGTCCCCTCCTAAAGACCTCATTGTGACGGAAGTGACGGAAGAGACTGTAAACCTGGCCTGGGACAATGAAATGCGGGTCACGGAGTACCTCATCGTGTACACGCCCACCCATGCAGATGGCCTGGAAATGCAGTTCCGTGTGCCAGGGGACCAGACGTCCACCACCATCCGGGAGCTGGAGCCTGGCGTGGAGTACTTTATCCGCGTGTTTGCCATCCTGGAGAACAAGAGGAGCGTTCCCGTCAGTGCCNTGTTAAAGAAACTCCTTATTTTCTATGAAATCTCCCTCCTTGCTCTACTGTATCCTTTCTGCTATGGAGAACCATTACAGGTAACACTCAACAAGTGTTTACTGTGCACAGGACTTTGTTTTAAAAACTCATACTAATTCATTTAATCCTATGAGATAGAAGCTATTGTTAACCCCCTTTTACGGGTGAGGAAATTGCAACTGAATGGTTGAGCATCTCATCCCAAATCACAGCTAATGAGTGGTGGAGATGGGATTTGAACCCTAGCAGTCCTGGCAGGTTTATGCTGTTAACCACTCTATGACCTTTCTATGGAGCTCACTGTCCATTATTTTTTTAGATGTGGAAACATTAGGATCCAAGTTCCTATAAGAGTCTAGCATCAGTATAATTACCTCTATACCTGAAAAGCAAGTTGTGGNAAGTTCCTATAAGAGTCTAGCATCAGTATAATTACCTCTATACCTGAAAAGCAAGTTGTGGCTAGAAATTGACCCTTTCTGGCTTAGTAATAATAACATTGGCTGCCATTTATTGGACTTGTACTACATGCTAGGAACCAAACCCAGCAGTCTACATGGAGCATATCACTTAGTCCACAATGCATTCCGAAGAAGCAGGAATATTTATTTCCTTCTCCCTGGTAAAGAAACTGAGGCTCAGGGCATTTTATGCAACTTGCCTAAGGTCACAATGTTAGTAATGGTAGGACTTAGATTCTAGCCCAAGTGTATCTGATTCCAAAGCCTGTGCCGGTATTAAGGTTAACCATATGAAATTGCCAATATTTAATCGTATGGTCGGCCCTAATATTAATTTTCATACTGCCTTACAGTAGACAGCATCTGGAAGAACATTTCAATAGACTTCAGCTCTGACTATCAGCCACTGACTTTGGCAGGCATCCATCCTTGGGGTTTAGTGGAATCACGGACGTGTTCCCCATCGCACATCTTCCCTGATCCTTACATCCTATTCATGCTATTTCTTACAGACTTGCCTGCACCTGAAGGCCTAAAATTCAAGTCCATCAAGGAAACATCTGTGGAAGTGGAGTGGGATCCTCTAGACATTGCTTTTGAAACGTGGGAGATTATCTTCCGGAACATGGTAAGGAGAACAAAGGAGCAGATGTATTTGACCTCAGGGATCTGAAAGATGATCAAAGAGTTCTACAGAGTTTTATATCAACTTGGTTTTCTTGGCTTTTGACAGAGGACAAGATTCTAATTAGCACCCTGTCTGTTTACATGTATATTTTAAGTGATGTTGCTTCTCCCCTGATTTTAATGAGCCGACAAGTGTAGCACTTAGGGCTGAGTGCCTATGCAAATAAAAGTTTAATCATCTCTAGGTTCCAACTGCCCCCATAATCTTGCAAATCTCTACTCAGAGGCAAAAAAAGAGAAGAAATGGTCTCTCCCTCAAAATGTCTCCAGGCACATCTCATATTTGAACAACACTTCTCTACAGGCCAGAAAGCACATGTGAGGCAGAGAATGTGGTTTCTGAATTTAATCCCAGGCTCTGCCACCAACTAGCTGTGTGACTGTGTGACAATCACCCTACTTCTCTGATGCTGGCCTCTTAGTCTATTAAAGGAGGGGTTGAGCTTGTGGCTTTAGAATTCCTTCAGCCCTCACATTGTCATTCAACTTGCATGTCAAAGGGTGAGTAGAGAGGTTTAGGAGAGGGAGAAATGAATTTGAGACATATCATCTCTGGATCCTCAGCACCTAATATACTGATCTGATGTATAGTAAGTGCCAAATGAATGGATGAAAGAATGAAAGAGAAATAAATGCAGAATGAATGAATCACATAATTGAAGAAGCTGACCCCTCCTGTAAGGCTTACTAAGGTACCTTTGTCTTTCAGAATAAAGAAGATGAGGGAGAGATCACCAAAAGCCTGAGGAGGCCAGAGACNCTAGACATTGCTTTTGAAACGTGGGAGATTATCTTCCGGAACATGGTAAGGAGAACAAAGGTGCAGGTGTATTTGACCTCAGGGATCTGAAAGATGATCAAAGAGTTCTACAGAGTTTTATATCAACTTGGTTTTCTTGGCTTTTGACAGAGGACAAGACTCTAATTAGCACCCTGTCTGTTTACATGTATATTTTAAGTGATGTTGCTTCTCCCTGATTTTAATGAGCCGACAAGTGTAGCACTTAGGGCTGAGTGCCTATGCAAATAAATGCTTAATCATCTCTAGGTTCCAACTGCCCCCATCATCTTATCTTGCAAATCTCTACTCAGAGGCAAAAAAAGAGAAGAAATGGTCTCTCCCTCAAAATGTCTCCAGGCACATCTCATATTTGAACAAAACTTCTCTACAGGCCAGAAAGCACATGTGAGGCAGAGAACGTGGTTTCTGAATTTAATCCCAGGCTCTGCCACCAACTAGCTGTGTGACTGTGTGACAATCACCCTACTTCTCTGATGCTGGCCTCTTAGTCTATTAAAGGAGGGGTTGAGCTTGTGGCTTTAGAATTCCTTCAGCCCTCACATTGTCATTCAACTTGCATGTCAAAGGGTGAGTAGAGAGGTTTAGGAGAGGGAGAAATGAATTTGAGACATATCATCTCTGGATCCTCAGCACCTAATATACTGATCTGATGTATAGTAAGTGCCAAATGAATGGATGAAAGAATGAAAGAGAAATAAATGCAGAATGAATGAATCACATAATTGAAGAAGCTGACCCCTCCTGTAAGGCTTACTAAGGTACCTTTGTCTTTCAGAATAAAGAAGATGAGGGAGAGATCACCAAAAGCCTGAGGAGGCCAGAGACCTCTTACCGGCAAACTGGTCTAGCTCCCGGGCAAGAGTATGAGATATCTCTGCACATCGTGAAAAACAATACCCGAGGACCTGGCCTTAAGAGAGTGACCACCACCCGTGAGTATCACCTTTAATACCATTGATACAATGATAGAGTTAATTGTACCTCATATCACCTTCTGGTTGATAAAGTGCCCTCTTATATAGCATCTGTATCAATTAGCTTTTGCTACATTGAAAAAAATAAAAGCACAAATGCAGTAGCTTAAAACAACAAATCTTCAGGTTGAAGATTGGGGTTGAGCTCAGCGGAGCAATTAGTCTGTTCTTGACTAGGCTCACTCATGCATCTGTGTGGTCAGGGGATTGGTTGGCCTAGGATGGCCTCAGCCAGCATGGTGCCTTTCTGCTCCACATGGTCTCTCATGCTCCATGTGCTAGCCTGGGCCTATTCACATCACTGTTGAGCAGGCTTAAAACTGGTTCTAGATCACTTCTGTCAAAGGAAATCCCAAGGCCGGTCCAGTATAAGGGGTGGAGAGACAGATTCTTCTCTTGATGAGAGAAGCTTCAAAGTCACATTTCAAAAGGGCATGAATGCAGGAAGATAATTAATTAAGGTCATTGCAAACAGGCTACCACATCATCTAATTTAATATTAGCACCCAGTCCCATAACAGAGATAGGGAAAATATTAGTGTTATTGTATTCGAAGAATAGAAAATAAGCTCAGAGAAGCTAAATCATTTTAACTAACACTACATGGTTAATATCATCAGGACCACAACTTCAAGCCAGGGTTAGTTTTATAAATTTAACCCCCTTACCACTAGCATTGACTAGCCTCTGGTTTATGCAGAATGTTGATTCCATGTCTTCAACAGGAACCTAAATAAAATTTCACTCAATACTAATGATGTCAGAACTTCTTGGGGAAGAATAGAATTTAGCACTACTAGATCATTTGGTGGGAAAAAAGGGGAAAAAATGGAATTCAGAGTTGTTTTACCAGGAAGCAAATTTTTTTTTAAAGAAAGAAAATAACTTTGTATTGCCATTTAGGAAAACCTCTCTTTTTTCCATCATGACATATGTGCCAACTTTTTAATGAATTGACTCTTCTTGGCAGGGGCTTTTGGAAAAGTTAAATCTGTTGACTAATGACAAGAAAGAACATCTTGCATTAAAATATTTGTACATTTTGCCTAGCTCAGAGCCAATTCATAAGATTGTCTCCTTCATGAGCAGGTGTTTTCCATCATTTTGACAACATTTCTCTGTGGTAGGTAGAAGGCAGGTACCAACAGGAAAAATATCTTTAGATCACCAGAAAGGCATAGAAAAGATCAAACAAATGCTTATTTGCTATAGAGAAGACACACCAAAAATACAAAAGATGTTTCTTTCACCTCCTCTTTTCTTTTTAATCTAAATTTGAGGATTGTCTTGCTTTATTTTCTTCTTATTGCAGGACAAACATTCCAACATTCAAAGTTCCATTATCACATAAATATCAACATTGAGTGACAGAAACTTTTTCATTTTGTGCAAATCATGTTTGGCTCCTTCTCTCTGGCATCTATTTAGAAGTATAACTATTTTTGACACGTGAATATTTTTGAGAAGCATTGTCATGTAAAGGGGAAAGAGCATGGGCTTTGGATCCAGACANGATTGTCTCCTTCATGAGCAGGTGTTTTCCATCATTTTGACAACATTTCTCTGTGGTAGGTGAAGGCAGGTACCAACAGGAAAAATATCTTTAGATCACCAGAAAGGCATAGAAAAGATCAAACAAATGCTTATTTGCTGTAGAGAAGACACACCAAAAATACAAAAGATGTTTCTTTCACCTCCTCTTTTCTTTTTAATCTAAATTTGAGGATTGTCTTGCTTTATTTTCTTCTTATTGCAGGACAAACATTCCAACATTCAAAGTTCCATTATCACATAAATATCAACATTGAGTGACAGAAACTTTTTCATTTTGTGCAAATCATGTTTGGGACAGATACTTTTTCATTTTGTGCAAATCATGTTTGGCTCCTTCTCTCTGGCATCTATTTAGAAGTATAACTATTTTTGACACGGGAATATTTTTGAGAAGCATTGTCATGTAAAGGGGAAAGAGCATGGGCTTTGGATCCAGACAATCCTGAGTTTCAATTCCTTTTTTACCATTCGTTGTCACTTTGGAAAAGTCCATTTCTTTAAGATCCAACATCTGAAAAATGGGTTTACAGTATTCTCCTTATGGGGCTGTCATAAGACTTAAGACATAAATGGCACAGCGCTGTGCTTAGCTGTGTTAACCACAGATCGATGTTAGTTTCTGCTGTTCAAGTGTCCCAAATTTAGAAGGATATTAGTGTTCTTGACTGAATCCCAACTTCTTCAATGAAAGTGGTGCTAAGAAAGGTAGTAGGTGTGGTCTGGGTGCTTGCTAGCAGCTGTGAACACAGGACAGACAGCTGACTGTCGATTTGTAGCATTATTTCCATTGTGCATTTTACAGTTTCATTATCTGTGAGCTGAGACTAAGGTAGCGACACCTAGACTTCAAAAAATAGACTCTGGCTTTCTAATGGTCAGCTGTGAATATTCCTTCTTCTCATTCCCTGCATAAGGGCAATTCCTTTTATTTGATATCCCTTACTCAACCAATGCTGAAAACATAAACTTAACTATTAAAAAAGAAGAAAGAAAGAAACATTTACTGAATCCCTATGTGCCTGTCTCTATGCCAGGGATTAAGCAAGACCAAAGACCCACTCCCTGTATGAAGGAATGACTCCATCTACATTGTTTTAAATTCTCAAGAAATCTGTTACAGAACAGTGAGAAAAGCACAACATTAGAATACTCTTTAAGGGCAGTGGCAGCCATGGGAGGGAGTGTGTGTTTACCTGATGGCAGAAGGGTTAAAGAAGCCTTCTTCTTAGGAGGTGACATATAAGTGAGGTTTTTAAGGATGAATACAGATCTTTAGAGGGGGGAGGAGCAATCTCAAAAAAAAAGAAACAAAGGAACATCATGTGCAGAGACTAGGAGGCAACCAACAGCCTGGTGTCAGAGCAGGGAACACCAGAGTGAGGGGCAGGAGGAACGGGACAGCCGGAAAAGCTGTGATGAGGACAAAAAGATAGGCAAGGCTTGAGATGGTCATGACCTCCTTACCTGAGTTCTCTGCATCAGAAATAACTTTCTATACACTGTCAAGACAGTCTACTGCCTCACTTTTCTGCTCAGTAATTCCAGCAGTTATTAACCTTTCAGGAATTTTTGCCTAATTAAAAAAACAGAGAGATTAAGTCAGGTTTTTCAAATGAACCAGCCCCAAAGCCTGTTGCCTTCGAGGACAGTAATAATAATAATAAACAAAAGAAGAATCATTTACCATGTGATTGCTGTGTGCTAGGTGCTGTGCTAGATGCTTTGCAAGCAATATCTTCTTTAATATTTGAAAAAAATAACAAAAAAACCCTAAACGTAGCTATCATTACCCCCACTTATAGCTTATTAAGCAGGAAACTGAGGTTCAGAAAGGTACAATAAAGTCAGTGGTCGGTCTGCATCTGCCTGTACACCCACAGGTCTGCAAAGCCCGCTCTCTGTCCAGCCCCTGGCACTAGCCTTGACCTCTGACACTCCTTTGTCCTTTGCTGGTTGCAGGCTTGGATGCCCCAAGTCAGATCGAGGTGAAAGATGTCACAGACACCACTGCTTTGATCACCTGGTCCAAGCCCCTGGCTGAGATCGATGGCATTGAGCTGTCCTATGGCATCAAAGATGTACCGGGTGACCGCACCACCATCGATCTCACACACGATGAGAACCAGTACTCCATCGGGAACCTGAAGCCAGACACCGAGTACGAGGTGTCCCTCATCTCCCGTAGGGGTGACATGTCAAGCAACCCAGCCAAAGAAACCTTCACTACAGGTAACAAGCATTCTCCTGTTAACAGCTACAGAAAAGGAAGGATTTCCAGACTTTTATCCCACTCCATGTTGGGGTGTTTTCCAGACTCATTTTACATTAGGAGAAATGGAGGGAGGATTTCTAGTCCTATACATTTTACTTTCAAATACATATTGTAGCAATTGATTAACTTATTTTTCAAAGAAAAAAAACGTACTCCAAATAACCTTCCAAAGCATTTTTTCCTTCTTTTATTTTTTGCATACATAAAAAAATGCTGGTCTGATATTCTTAGATGAAAGTTATGGTTAAAATAAAATTCAAATAAATATTTTAATAGTAAAATACAGTATATGGAAAATATGACTGACAAAGAAGCCTCCTAACCTCAAAATTTATGGCATTATTTTATAAGTACCGAAGTATCATTCATTCATTCATTTACATAAATATTTTTTCAGAGCTCAGTATGCATTGTGCACATTATTAGAATACAGTGATGACCACAACAGAACCAGATCTTACACTTTTGAGCTTATTTATGTTTCAACATTGTCCTTGAAGCACAAAGTCTGAGAAAAACACAAATGACTAAAGTGTCACACATATTAATAATGGGGAAAGGTGCCAAATCTGTAGTACTGTATTTGTTTAGATTTGTGCATCAGCTGTGGAGACAGAGGAGTATGTGGACGATTTTGTCATTTCTCTCCATTGTCAGGTGCCTTTTATATCTCAGCTTGACCTGTCAATGACTCCCACTCTCCTGGTGCCTGCTGTTTTCAACACAAATGTTTCTCCTTCTCCCAAATAGGCCTTGATGCTCCCAGGAATCTCCGCCGCGTCTCCCAGACAGACAACAGCATCACCCTGGAATGGAGGAATGGCAAAGCAGCCATTGACAGTTACAGAATTAAGTATGCACCCATCTCGGGAGGTGACCACGCCGAGGTCAACGTCCCAAGGGGCCAACAAGCCACAACCAAAACCACACTCACAGGTGAGCTCTGCATCCCCAGTCTTCAAAGGATGGGCACTTGCTCCTGCATGTCCCATTTTGCAGCCCTCCAGAAAGAGAAATAAGTCCAGTTCCCAGCAATTGCTCTCACTTGGACTGCAGCAAGTTAGTTCATAAAGCATTTGAGACATTGAGAAACCATGGCCTCCAGCGACCAGCTCAGGCCATTTTTGTCATCCTCTGAAAGTCTTCCCAGTTTCAGGCTCAATCTTAACCTGCACATTCTCTCTTAGGTCTGAGGCCAGGAACTGAGTATGGAATTGGAGTTTCTGCTGTGAAGGAGGACAGGGAGAGTGATCCAGCGACCATCAATGCGGCCACAGGTGAGGTGCACCCTGGGTTCCCACCACCACTGAGCTAGTGCTGGGCAGACAAGACAGGGCCAATGAGGCTGAAACCTATTAAAGAAAAAGTACAAGCCCAGAGGAGAAAGGGGCTGTAGGATCATCTAGCCCAGGTGTCTTAATCCGGAAGTAATATAAGCATGGCCCATCTAAATGATGCCAACAGCCTTGTAAAAAAAAAAAAAAAACCCACAAACTTTATTTTTGCAGCTGGCCAGTACAAGATTCCAAACCCTTGACCTTGGTGTTATAATACCATACTCTAACCAACAGACCACAAACCTTTAAAAGTCGGTAACCAATACCATTTTTTAGCAAACTATTGTCTAACCAAAACACATCTGCGGATGTTGTCTTAGACAACACCTAACTTCTATACTTCCCATTAAGTGGATCATAAGTTGCAGGACCATAGTTAAATCCAGGACCTGCTTTTAGCCATTTTATCCTTAGCTATAGCTTCTGGGAGATAATGGTAAGGGGCTACATTATTTGAGACACTGATTCTTTCCTTCAGATTTTTTTTTAAATGAAAAATTTGCACTGCAAAAAAGAAAATGCCTCCCTCTGCCTCTCCACCAGCCTCTGCTCACTTCCCCCCAGATGCTGTGAGAAGGGTGGAGTGTGTAAAGAGGACATGCATCACACTTCATCAAGCTTCCACAGTATACAGGATCCAGGGCCAGGCACATACACATATATCCTTCTTTTGTCTTTTGATTTTGAGACACTTGTAGATTCACATGCGATTGTGAGAAATCATACAGAGAGATCCCCTGTGCCCTTCACCCGGTTTCCCACAAGGGTAATGTATCTGTCTATTTTCTGTTGCTTGTAACAGAACACCTGAAACTGGGTAATTTGTGAGAAAATGAAATTTATTTCTTACAGTTTGAAGGCTGGGGAGTCCAAGGTCCAGGGGGCACATCTGGTGAGGGCCTTCTTCTTGATGGAAACTCTTTACAGAGCCCCATGGCATCCAGGGTAGCTATCACATGGCAAGAATGGCAAGAATATTTTTACGTCTTCTTGTAATGCCACCATTCTATGCTCATGATAACCCATTAATGGATAATCCATTCATGAGGGCCCTGCCTTCAAGATCCAATCTCCTTGTAAAGGTCCAACCTTGTAACACTGCCACATTGGGGATCAATCTTCCACACGAGCTTTGGAGGGGACAAATATTCATCCCCTATCAGGTAATGGCATACTGCATAAATATAGAACAGTATCACAACCAGGAAATTGACATTGACACAATCTACCCACTTTATTCAGATTTCACCAGTGTTGCATACATTTGTGTATGTGTGCGTGTATATTTAGTTCTATGCAATTTTATCATCTTGGGTAGACTTGTGAATCCACCAGATAATCATGATACAGAATAGTTCCATCATAAGGATCTTGCATGTCACCCCTTCTAGCCACAGCCACCTCTCTCCTTCCCCCTCTGCTTAACCCTTGGCAGTCACTAATCTGTTCTTTATCTCTATAATTTTGCCATTTTAAGAATGCTACATAAGTGAAATCTTACATATACTGGTCTATTGGGGCTTCTATAACAAAAATACCTTAGACTGAGTAGCTTAGACACAGAGGAAATTTATTTCTCATAGTTCTGGATGCTGGGAAGTGCAAGATCAAGGCACCAGCAGACTCAGTGTCTAGTGAGGAACTGCTTTCTGGTTTGTAGATAGCTATCTACTTGCTGTGTCCTCACATGGCAGAAGGGATCTTTCTGGGTCTCTTTTTTATAAGGGCAGTAATACCATTCATGGGGCTTCCCAACAATCCCCACATCCAAATGCCATCACATTGGGGATTAGGTTTCAACATATGAATTTTAGGGAGACTCAAGTATTCAGTCCATAGCAATCCAGTATATAACCTTTTGAGACTGTTTTTTTTTTTTTTCTTCAGTATAATTTTCTTAAGATCCATCTAAATTGTTTCTCATATCATTAGTCCATTTCTATTAAATGCTTATAATTGAGTAGCATTTCATGGTATGAATATGCCACTACATTATTTTTAATCTTCCAAAAATTCAATGAGGTGTTATATAACAAGGCTTGATTTACACAGAGGAAGACTGAGACTCAGAGAGGTGAGTCTTTTGCAGCCACCCTCCATGGCAGACCTCGTATTCCTGCCCAGTGTCAGGTGACTTCCAGCCCTAGAAGCAGCCCTGCCTCAAAGCCTGAAGAGTATGCATCTCTCTGTGTTCCTCCCAGACTTGGACGCACCCAAGGACCTTCGGGTTTCTGAAACTACAGAGACCAGCTTGACCCTGCTCTGGAGGACACCATCGGCCAAGTTTGACCGTTACCGCCTCAACTACAGCCTCCCCACGGGCCATTCGGTGGGGTTGCAGCTTCCAAAAAACACCACCTCCTATGTCCTGAGAGGCCTGGAACCAGGACGGGAATACACCATGCTCCTAACAGCCGAGAAGGGCAGGCACAAGAGCAAGCCCGCACGTGCGAAGTCATCCACCGGTGAGTCCACTCTGAGCGCCGTCCAAGCCTCTGTTGATCCTGAGGCTCTGTTGATCCTGAGGTTTGCAGGTCCCCTCAGCCAGGTTGTCCTCCCATAAGAAAGCCAGATGAAAAAACATGCCTTCTCTGCCCATGCAGCCTCTAAATACCACTTCGAAAGAGCTGCTTATTTGTCTTTCCTGAGTGTTAACTTTTCCTCTCGTTGACTGATTCAGCAGTTTCCTCACCAGGCAACAGTGGCTGTTAAACATTTCTTCCTAGGAGAACTTAAAGCATCAGGGTTTGTGTTGCTTTGTTTTTGTTTTTTGTTTTCTTTTTATTAATTACGAGTGTTTCATAGAATCTTTTAAATGGTTTCTTGTTTATTTTTCCTCTTTAGCCTAACAATTAATTTACTTTTCATTTGATTTCTTTTAAATGTTGGTAATAATTTTGGGGGTTTTTTTCCATAAAATGTTTTTATTCCAGGTCCTTTGCTTTCCTCTAAGGCCACCCCTAAGAAGTTGCACATGGTCCTTTGAGGCTTCTCCTGGGCCCTTCTCATTTTCTATTTTCTCTTAGTCATTAAGAAGTAAAACCAGTTTTTCCATGACTACAGCTTAATCCAGGCCTCCGTTGTCCCTTCTAGCCCATTTGTCATGCTCACTGAACCTGTGGCCACATTTTCTTCCTATATGAAAAAAATACCCATTCAGTATTGGCCACCAAATATTCAAGATGTATAGGTGAAAAATGTTGCTTCTTCAGGGATTGGCAAGTAACAGTCTTTACTTTTGATTTAATTAGTAAGCATGCATTGATCACCTACTACATACATTGTACTGCACTGGTGCTTGAGGAGAAGTGGGTCACATGGCCAGTTTGGCAAGTAACAGTCTTTACTTTTGATTTAATTAGTAAGCATGCATCGATCACCTACTACATACATTGTACTGCACTGGTGCTTGAGGAGAAGTGGGTCACATGGCCAGCATTGTTATATTGATTCATGTGCTCCTGCTCCCAGTCCTTAGAGAAGACTAGACATTCAGCATGTTAGACAAAACTCATCAAGGAAAAGGAGAGATCAGGGGAATCAGGAGCAGCTAGCAACAGTGTTACCGCAGAGATATTACCCCAGATAGAATTTGATGAGCAGAAAAGGGGTTATAACAATGGACATATTAGGAAATGCCTTGGAGAAGCTTTGTCAAAAAGCTTCACATGCATATAACAGAACTTTCAAATAATAGTCACTGAAGTAAGATAGAAGTTGGCTTCCTCTTTCGTAAAATAAATCTGGAACTGGGTGGTTCAGAGATGCCACAGTAGTTCCAGATTGTCAGGGATCCAGGCTTCTTCTATCTCTGTGTTCTACCATTCTTAGTCCTTGGCTTCCATCATCAGGATCATCTCAATGTCACTACACAGCTGCTGCAATACAGTTATCACATTTGTGTTCAAGGCAGCATGAGGGGGGAAGAATCAAAACTTCAAAAAAGGAGTACCCCTAGATGAGTGTTTTTGGAGGCTTCACCAACAACTGCTCACATTTCATTGGTCACTCTTAGCTTGAAGTAGGCTGGGAAAGGTAATCTCCTGGCTGAACATGCTGCTGTCCACATCAAATCATGTGGGTTTGGGGGAGGTTGGTGTTTTATTTTGTTTTTGTAACCATAAGAAAGAAATTTAGTAAACAAAGAGAAGTCCCTGCCAGAGAGTCTGAACTGAGTCCAGGTGGTCAACTCTGCATGGACGGTTTCCCATCCAGCTACAAGATGATTGTCACAGATGCTCTGACAGGGTAGTTTAGTCACAGGTGGGGGAGGGGGCAGAATCACATCAAGAAGAAAAAAAATCTATAGTAGAGATCTGAATATTTCAGCTTTCAAACATGAGCTTGTGATAAGGTGTCAAGGGACAGAGAAAGAGAACAAAACCAAAATTATAAGAATGTAACTTGCCTGTTCTGGAGGGACATGTGGAAGCTACAGGAGCACGGAGGCAGGTATCTAACTACAGACCTGAGCAAAGGGAATAAAGAGTATCAGAGAAGATTTTTTGAAAGAGGTGATGCTTGGCTGAGTCCTGAAAAAGGAAAAGGATTTGGGCAGGTGGAGATGGAGTACTGACACCTTCAGCAGGGGAAACAGAAGCTGAAAAGCTCAGAAACTTCCTGTTAGTGACAGGCAAGCTGCAGAGTCCTGCTGTGTGACAGAACAGGAGAACAGCAGGGTGGGAGGCTGGAGATGTCATCGTGAACAATCTGCAAAGGGCCATGAATACATGCTAAGGGGCTTGGATTTCATTCTTGTTAGTTGCACAGAGTCACTAACATGTGTAAAGGCAGCCAAGGCTTTTTGTTTCAATTATCTTATCTCTGCAAGATGAGATTGAAGCCACTGAATCTGCCCTTAGGGGTGGTCATCAGGCTTGGATTTGGCCATCCCCCTGCTGTGGGAGAATCACTTTCTCCCATAAATGAACACTCTGAGCGAGTTCCTCAGCAAGCCGGCACTTGGTAATCGCCATCTACAAGGTGGTGGAAATCTAAAGATTTAAAGTTGGCACCGCCAGAAATTCCTCCAGGCCAGCTGCTCAACCCACCATGAGTACAGAAATGAGATTTCAAAATTCTGATTTCCCAGGC